ATATTACAGTATTTAAACAAGATAATATATCTGTTCCAAGGAGGGGAACTGGACTTTCGGGCATAATTAAAAAGGAGTGGGTGAAAAAAGCTATCCCAGTTACAGCCTAAGGAAGGCTTGTGAGAAATAGTGACTTAGCTCCTCTCCAGGGACTCCTTTCACTAAAATATGAGGGCTGGTGGAAGCAAGGCCAGGGCTGAAGATAATGACAGAGAGACGACAGGCACCAGTGTCCAGCAATAGGCTGGTTTGTCTTCCCTCTACAGTCATTACCTGGGGCTCCTCCATGGAGATGACAGTCCAGCCAGTGGGAGAAGGCAGAGAGTGCCACTGGGCCCTTATGTCTTGCTGGACCAGCTGGTAAGATGGGTCTAAGCCGTGGAGCCTTCATCTCAAAGGGAAGTCTGACTTCCAGGGGTCACCTTTGCAAGTAGGGCGTGGTCCAGGTGACTCCTCGTTGCAGTCCCTTTTAAGGAAGTCTGACTCTTTGCAGTAGAAGCAGCTGGGCTTAGTCACTTAGCTTTCCTTGGATCCTGAGAATCAGACCTAGAGTCTATTTCTTCAAGGGATGCTATTGCCTTTTTTCAATCCGTTTTCTTTCCCTAGCCTCCTGCTCTCAATTATAAAATACTGAGGAAGCAGTTTTCTCTAAAGTAGCAAGTGAGCTAGCTAGACCAAAAGCCATCTTTTGTGACTTTTTCTTAATATCTAGGGCTGACTTTAAGAACAGTCTGTCCATCTACTGAGTCAGGAGCTAGGGATGTGTGTTTTACCTATGATGCCCCTTATAAGCAGTCTAAGAAGATTAAAAAAAAAGTTTCCTTTTCCCTCCTGTTGAATAGTTGATAATTTTAAATAATTGAAGGGCTTCACTTTTGTCCTTCTTAGGCCCTCAAGAACACAAAACTAAAGATGAGCCTATTCCAGTTTCCTGTATTTTTGGTAGACCAGTTGGGATCCTGTGCAGAGACTGCTTGGGCTCCAGTAGGAACAGGCAGTTCCCCTGGCTGTCTCTCTTCTAGCCTGTAATTAACAAGATATAGTGATCCTCTCCAAATGTGATGCTGCTTGCATCTCATTAGAAGTCCATGTTCAATTTAAAAATAACATCACATCCTTCCCGTCTAGTTCAGAGGTCTGAGTAAGTCCCCTGAAGACATCAGTGGTCTGAAAACTCTGAGTCTTGTTTGATCCGTTTGAGGTCACTGAGAGAAGAGGACATGCAGACACGAGCCTGTCTGAATTCACCGTCTACTTCTCGTGCGGGATATTATCCTGAGGGGCTTGAACAAAATTAGCTAAGGATGGATATATCTCCATAGAGGGTTTAACTGTGGGTGGCCTAGAAGCCTCACTCTTAGACTCTAAAGGATAAGGAAAAAGAATTTCAGTCTCCAAGGACAGATAGGTAGAGCTGTAATAGTAGTTGGCGCTTGGAAAAGGGGCGTCTTGGAAACCTTGTCCTCAGGTTTAGTAATAGTAGGTGGGGTTTTGACTAAGGTTGCCTTGGAAGCCTTGCTCTCAGGTTCCAAAAGGCAGGGATGGGAAACCTCAGTGATAGGGGCCAGAGGTTTCTGGATTTCCTGTGGCTCACATTTACATTTGGAGCAGATGAGGATTATTTGTTAATGCAAAGAAAATCTGAACATAAGGCAATTTGACCATTTTCACTCTTACAGTGCTATTCTAGTTAGGAAGTAGCTTCCTAATCCATACTTCCCACTGTATTCCTGCTATTTTCCACTACATAAGACAAAACAATTGTTGCAAGTTGCCTTAGCCTTACTTCCTGGAAGAGGTGGGGTGGTTTGACCACCCACAAGGGCGTTCTAAACTCATCTCCCAGTGAGTTGGAGAAAAGTTTAAGGGGGATTTCTAACTCACTAGCAGAGAGAAAAGTCCCAATACAAGCCTACGCCATCTAAACACAGGAAAAAAAAAATCATTATACAGCATTTCACAAACCTACAGTAAAAGTTTCAAAGTCCACAACCTATTAGCAAAATTATTTTCCTTCCCTACACATATAAATGATGAAAACCAGACCCAGGAGTGGGGAGAGAGAGAGAGAGAAAGTTGGCAGTTTCTGATCTAGCAAAGATTCGTTTTCTGTGTCTGTCCGGGGATCTATACTACTAGAAGAGAAAGAGCAATCCATACCAGTAGCTCAACTCTTAACAGTGCTTAAAGGGCTCTGACGGCATTGTTTCAGGTCATTCTGACACAGAGGATACCTGATGGTCCCTGAAAAAGTTTCCTTCCACCTCACTGAGCAGTGCAGGTAGGAACCATAGATATGTGGAGATGTTTTGCTGATTACCCAATAGAGCTGTTGGGACCCAGTTTCCACTGAGGAACCTTTGGGTATCTGCCAGAGTAGCCCTGGCCATGACTCCTCAGTTGTCACCTCAGGTTTTACTAGTTCCACGTGATCAGAGATCTGTCTCTGGAAAGGAATCCAGTTGCCCGTCTGGTGAGCATTCCACTGGCCATTGGATGAGGATTTCCCAGAGGGCAGTTGGAGAAAATTATCCTCTGCTTTGAGAAATTGGAGAAAACTGTCTTCCTCAGCTTGCCCTAAGGGCTGTTACTAACTGGCAGAATAATCACTATTTGTTTTATCATTCTATAAGGATAAGGACAGATAAAAGCTGAAACTATCTTTACCTAAGGTGATTTCATAAAAATCCCATTTTACAGCATTTTCTAAATTGCTTGTAGTTACTATTAACGACCACTAGGTGGCACTCTAATACTACCTTTTTCCTGGGGCCGTTGTCTAACAAAACAGAATTCTAGCAAATTCGGCAGCTTCAGCAGTTAGGTCCAAATGTAACATATACAAAACAGGAATAAAGTGTAATTTTAAAACAGGAGACAATGCATAAACATTTGCAAGGCATAAGAAACAAAACTTAAGATACTACCTGAAGGAGCCATAATCCAGAGTCTGTGAAACAAAACGTCAGAATCTATGAAACAAAAATAATCTATAAAACAAGATCTAGAATCTAGGAAACAAAAAGTTAGAATCTATGAAACAAAAGCAGACTCTGACCTCTGTCCAGTTATCTCAGTGGAAGACCTTCAAATGATACAGGGCACCAAGTAATCCAAATAACGTAATAATCCAAACAAAGGAAGTATTATAACTCCCAACTTGCTAGATATCTGAAATGCCAAGTTAGTGTTTTCTAATTCAAAGAATGAATTCCAGGAACAAGAGTTAAGAGTAGGGAATATTTATTGAGGGAGTGACGGCTCCTGCCCGAGAGGAACAGGAGGGGACCCCCGGAAAGTGGGTTGCCCCGGGGACCGCAATTCTCGGGTGAGCTTTATGGAGCAAAGCCATGAGGTGAGGTGGGTGCAAGGTGGGACGAAGCCATAGAAACTGACAAGATCCACTGGAAAATCAGAAGATAGGGTGAGATGACGAGACCACGATCAACAGTAAGCTTCTGAGTACATTTGCCTAGGTAATACCGATGAAATGGGAAGCAAATCATGCACAAGCATACGTGGAATGAACAGGATTCTGAAGGAATGGGCTAGGGAGGTGATTGATACCTGCTTAGAATGTCGGTCACGGCTGTTTGTCCCTATGGGAAGCCTATGAGTGTGGTACTTTCCCCTTTTGAGTCTTGGCCTTGAATACATAGGCTTCGGTTGTCTTCTGTATCGATTCCCTCAAAGACTGGCCCTGTTTAACTATCTACAACAGATCTAATTACCTTCACTGTGTACAGTAGTATCTCAGGCTACCTGTGATTATTATAAACATTTGCATCAGGTGGTATTATTGCCATGTTCCTCTGAGCATTTAACAGTCTAAAGAGAGGTATCAGACTTGCTCCAGCAGAGGGTATATGAACAGGAAATTTTATATGCTGTTTTCTGAGGCTTTTGTAGAGATGATCTTCACACTAGGAACACTGTTACTCTCCAGTACAACCCCTGTAGTACCCTTCATCTCCTCCATGTGGCCTCCAGACTTCCTGTGATTGTCCATAAGGAGTGCCAGTTATCCAGCCTGTGGTGTTTGCCTAGATTCACCCTTTTCTGTAGCACCACACAAACATGTTTAAATTGGCCCTTTGGTCATTCTTCAGAATGATGCCCATGAAAACATTCATGACTTTACTAATGTTCTCTTTCTCTCCGTTCCCTATTGAAATTCAGTTTTTTATTTAAATCCTAACTCAATGCAAAATCTTCCACCGATTCTATTAAGTAGAAATAATATTCTTTCTTTGCACTTCTATATATATTTTAAACCTTTTTTGAGGTATGCTTTTCTTGTAGTTATTTGCATATACTGTTGTTTTCAGAAAGTGTTTGTCTTTCAGGGAATATGGTTAAATGTCATTCATCACTCTGCTGTGCACAGTGCCCTGCACATATTAGCTGCTAAGAACTTGCCTGGGTAGAAAACAGGAAACATAAGAAAGATTGTTTTCTCCCTTTTTGGTGCTGGGATTCGAACCTAGGGTCTTGCACATGTTGGGCAAGTCCTCTGCCACCGGCCTCCACCCCTGGTCTCTCTTCTTCACTTCACACAGTGGTGCTCCCCGTAAAGCAAGTTAGAATTACCCAAAGAATTGTTTTTAAAAGTTTTGATATTAAATTATAATCCACCATAGGTTTTATAGATTACTGTGTCCTTCCCTATCCAGTTTTGCTGAATTATCACCGTGAAAGACCCACAAACATGCATTTATAACATTCTGTTGTATAACCAACTCAGTGCAGTTTTAGGTTTCAGTGTTTTCCAATTGAATTAGATTGAAGCAATCGAAAACAAATGAAAAAGCAGCCTGTCTTACTTGTCTAGACCATGAGCTACTCCTGTTGGGCAAGTGGACAGCATGAGATTTTAATGCTAGAAAGTCTGGAGAGCTATGGACAGAACCCATAAAAACTTGCTACGAGAATGATGAACTTCACTGTTTCAAAAATGTTCATTTTCTGGTAATTGTTTTCATTCCCTTTTGTCTTTGTAGGACATAGCTCGCCTTTTACAAGAAAGGGAGCTGAAAGAAGAAAAAAAGCGAAAGAAACAAGTCCCTGAATTCTCTGGTGCCCATGTTTATGGAGATAGCTATTATTATGAAGATGGAGGTAACAATGCCTGCATTGGGACTGCTTTATCTTTACTTAGACTTAGCTGTTCATTTTGTCCATAAAGTGAACTTAGAGACCTGGGAACATTTCTCTTATTTCCAGGCACTTGGTACATTCAGAGTTATGTCAGGATTGTGCACTTAACTGTTCTTCAGTTGGACAGTCATAGCCATTTTTATGACTATTAAGACTTGAATATGGCGTTTAAGACTTGGTATGCATTCTTTTATGCTGCAGCCACTTGAAGTACTGTATCATATTCTAAGTACATAAAGTGGGTGTGGAAAATGGCAGATAAGTCTCTGAATTTATTTTTTTTCAAAGAAACCTGAGCAGTGCTATTTGCTTAAATTAGTGGAATGTTATGAATAAAGAAGGTATACCAGGTATCAGGTACTGGGTAACAAAGCTTTTTTTTTTTTCATGCTTTTTAAAATCTTGAATCTGTGCTTTATCTTGCTTATGACAAACACTATTAATTGTGCGTTTTTTTATTTTGAAACTTTCATTGCTATTTGATTGCAATGTAGAATATTTTGTGAGATTGCAATGTAGAATAATTCCCTCCAGTCTTGCTTATCTGGCTTCTGCTTTTGCAGGTTGGTGATGGTGGTGGTATGGTGGTAGCAGTTGCAGGGTTGGCAGTTCTTTATCTTCAAAGTGTGTTGGGAAAAGAGTATTTGCAAGTTTAACTTCATCCTTTTCAACAATCTTCCAAGGGAAAGACATTTATTGTAGTTTGGGGTGTCACTTTATTGAATGTCATCTTGGAGAACATATTTAAAGTAATTGGTGAACAAAATGTAAAGAGAGCTTCTAGAGAGTAAAGATTTTAAGCTCAGTGATCTCAAAAGTAATTGTCAACTGCTTTCCTATAATCCCATTACAAAAGGTGTGTGTTTATCTTTCATGAATAGAATGAAAGGGGTGCATATTGTAGGATTATTAGAGTTTGGAATAATCTTGCTCAGTCACAGTTTTTGCACTAAATTTACCATAACTGGAGCTCTACTCTGTTATTTAGGTTGCTTGATACTTTCTTTCTCTGTATGTGAAATGCTCAGCTCTTTTTTGATAACCATCTTCCATGTGGTAGTTTTCCTGGTGAAATTATATATTACATCACTTAAAAAGAAAGAAAAGTTATTGCCATATGTCACTATACTAGAGACCAGAAGGTAATTATTCCTTGCCTTCAATTAAAATCTTAAAAATATAGTCTAGTGTTTTTTATTTAATTTTTAATTCTCCTCTAGAAGCATGTTCACTGTAAAAAGTAACTGTTATAAAACTTTGAAGTCAGTAAAAGCATTAAGATAACGAGTGATCGAGTACACAGCGGTATTAATTTTAACCTGCCTTTATTAAAACTGATATACTAAACTGAATTGAGACTCAGACTTATCATCCTGGTTCATACCTCTAGGGCAGAGACTGAAAAATTTAGTGGTTTCCAGGTACACTCAAAAACTTTAAAATATATATATATTTATTTGAACTGCTCATATAAATACGTAAAACGGGACATACATGCTTCCTTGTGAGATCGGGGGAGGACCGAGGAATAGGAAATGGTGACCTCAGCATATGCAGGTGCTGTGATTTCCCTTGCCTCCGCCATGGTGGTGTTGGGAGGCACATATAGCTGAACATGTGATCCTTTGTATGCTTTTGAATTAGACCATGAAGAGTTACATAGACATTGTAATTCGGCTTGTACTTACAGAGCAGTCCTTATGTTCTTTGCAGTGGTCCTTTCCCAACACACCTGGTATATACTTTTTAATTGTATTTTTCTATGTGCAGTTTGATGTTTGCTTTACTTACTTATAATCTAAGTATATCATTACAGAAATGGTTATCCTTTCAGCTCATATTTTTCTTAAACTTTCATAAGTTATTTTAAAGATGATCTATTACAGATTTTCTGTAAATTTGAAATTATCCAAAATATCAGTTGTGAAATGATATATATTGTTCAATTGTGAATCCATGTTTTTCCTTCAAAGCCGCTCACACTGTATTGTGGTTCTTGTAGTGATTTTTTTTTCCTCCTGTACCAGGAATCAAACTCAGAACATTGCACTTGCAAGGTGGGTGCAGTGCCACTGAGCTAAATCCCTGGCTCTGTATTAGTGAGTTTTTAAAAAAACATAGTCTTTGTCCGGGCATGGTGGAACACACCTGTAATCCCAGCACTTGGGAGGCTGAGGCAGGAGATTGCTGTGAGTTCGAGACCAGCCTGGACTACATAGTGAGCTCCATCCAGGTCAGTCTCAACTCTTTTTGAGACCCTGTCTCAAAAAACCAAGAAAAAAAAATCATAGTCTTTGAAGTTATGGCTGTTTTCAAGTTCTGTACCTTCCTTAGAGTTGTAATTTTAAGAGTTATCTGCTATAATTGCTCTGAGATTTGTTTCTTATCTGTAAAATGGAATTCTAAAACTATGTCCTTCTTACAGATGCTTAAAAGATGAAAGAATATAACTGCTGAAGGATGTGTAAACTTTGAAGTATTATTTTTGTACACATTTCAGTGTTTTGTGTCTGTGATACGGTATTTTCTTTAAACAAAAATCTTGTTTTGAATGACAAACATGGAGGCATGCATATATGACTTACATGTGTGTACATACATAGTACATGTATATGTACACATATGTGTATACATTGGCAATGAGGGAGTCAATTATATTTGCCAAATAACTTGGTTTTAAGAAACATACAAGTCTCAGCCCTCAAATAGATGAGGTTTTTAAAAGATTCAAATAGGTTTTAAAGGATCCCTCCCATTTAGATGGAGCACAATAGATGAACTAGATATTTTTTTTTCTAGACAAGTCTGAAAACAGTGACAGCTTTGTAAAAATTCTTTCAGCACAATTCTGTGAAGTAGAATTTCTGTCAGTTAAAACTGTTTATGAAGAATTAAAAAAAAAATACAGCCTCACAAATTCATGTTGAGTAAAATCCTTTCTCTCTCCCTTTGGCCTAGTGCTGGACTCTCCACGTAAAGCTCTCTGTGGGATATTGGTATTAACACTGCAAACAGTTGGTCCCTGAATGCAGTCGTTATTTAATTCGCTTGAGTTATGTTAATTTACTACGTAGCCAATACATCCTCTCTCAGTTGTCAGAATTAAAATAATAGTTTGGCTAAAAAAAGATATTTTTTTAACCACAGAGAGTAATTATTATATTTTCTGATAAATATAAATTTAACCATAAATTAAAAATGGATAAATATGTTTACCAGTTGTTTAGGAGGTAGGTTTTCATTTAGACATATCTTCGAAGAAAATTTTCTTTTCTTCTGGAAAGTGCAAGAGGAAACTACCTGAGGCTTTTGAGGGGAACCTGCGGCATCAGTGTTGTAACACTTACCTCCCTTTTACTCTGTGCCTTGATATCAGTAACGGTATCAAACCACACAGCACAAACCCCTAAACCTGAGAAAATAGAGTTCTGTATTTGTCCTACCTGTTATCAAATTGTGGTAGCTGCTTCAAATCTAACTCAGTGGTTGGTTCTAGCAGAAAACACTTATTTTAGCTATATTAACATTTCTCCACGGGATTACAATTTGTTTTTATTATGTCCAAAATGCAGTACAGTTTTAGAAAATGTTAAAATCTTGCCAAGTGTATATTAATTCTTTTGTTGGCACAGTATGCTTGTGCCTAAATGAGACTTAGCAAAAGTACTCATGTATGTGCTGTTTTGAAGTTTACATTAAACTTGGAAACTTACTGTATATATTTATCACATATTGTATTTTTACACAAAGGCTACAGTACAGTTTTTTAGAAATATATCTAGGAAGTGACCCTCTTTTATGTAATTTAGAATGGCATCCCTTTTTAGTTTTTTCCTCTGCCAATTTCAACTAAAATTGGGAACAGCATTACCTAAAGATTACAGGGTAATTTACTCACTTAAATTTCTCCTCTCTACTATCCTCTTCGATATTGAACCCTAATGTAGGGCTCATCACTGAAGTGGCCCGGAAACTTTGCTTTGACTACATAAGCAGGGACCATAGAAGAATCAATCCTAAGGTCTATGAACCATTTTTCTCTGAACTTCACAGAGAAATGATACATCTTTATTGTCATTTCCAGTAAAAACATTTGAAAGCCTATGACTCAATCAGACTATTTATTTTCTGTTGTTTTATAAGACTATATGACCCCTAGTTTTCCTGTACTAGTTCCAAATTGGTTTTGTAAAGTATTATTTAATGTTTAATGGCTATAATTTTGTTATTGGCAAATATGAAAGTACTCCATTAATCATGATCAAGTTCTTTCAGATTTATTGTAATTCATTTTAGTTTTTTACCTTTTTTTTTGTCTATGTACCCAGAATCCTTCTTGTATGCATAGACCGTTCCAGTAAATACTTACTTTTTTATACCTACAAAGTTAAAACAGTTTTCTCCATTACAAAGTATGTTAAACATGGGCCCTGGCTTCCCCTGGGTGATGAGGTTGTTCTCATTAAATTAATCTGCATTCTTATTTTTCACTTCCCTTTACCTCCTCCACTCAGACCAGCCAAGGTCGAGGAGGGCCAGGGAATTGGGTTCTGGATGTTCAGAGTCTTGTAGTCTCCATAGTGATCCAAAGACTGTGAAGCAGAGGAAGGAGAAGCTGAGAGGTCCACTGGGGAACTTGGAAGGGCCGGAAGAATGTTGCTCCTCAGAGAGGTCCCTGTCATCCTGTAGCCGGGACAAAGTGAGGGAAGCCCCACAGGTCAGCAGTGAGCACCATGAAAGGAGACGGTCTGGTCCGGAGCGACTTCAGAGATCTCCACTCCCCAGGATCAGTGGAGAAGTATTTCTGAGTGCTGACACTGGTGACTGGGAGACTAACAGTGGCCGTCGAACTTGGAATTGGGAAAAACAGTCCCGACATCAAGACCAACAACGTTCACCCAAATCCTCACAGAAAGCAGGGCTTCATTGCAAAGAAACTGTGTATGGGAGGGACACTGGGCAAGGTGAGCAAAGAGAAAGGAGACGCGGGCCCCGGACTCCTCCCTTCTCAGAGAGTGAGGAGCGGCACTACCTCCGTGACACAGGTAATACAGGATAGTCCATCGGCACCTGGGTATCGTGTATGTGCATACAAACAAATGCATTTAATAAGCTCTCAAGCAAACTCTCTTCCTTTCCTGTTTTGTATTCATGTACATGAAACAAGTTCTGGAGCCAAATATTATAAAAGGTGATATACTTAATCTCTGGTCTGTAGGAAGAAGGAAAATGTACCTTTCTCTTTCTGTGAAAATACACTGATTCCTTGGAAGGCCCTTCTAGGCCCAGAAAACAAGCGGAGGCGCCACCCCAGATTTGCTGCATTTGCCAAGACTACATCGTACAGTGACACCCAGCCAGAGCTGCTGAATCAGAAGATCTGGTGACACTGCTTTAATGCTATTTGCCTGCTAATAGGGCTGGAAGTACGGACTTTCTAGACCACATGTTTCTCATGTATACAGTGAGAGATGGTGTTATTATCTTTTTGCTTTAAGTTCCTTTGTATGCTCTGACTTTCTCCACCTCTAGCTCTACAGTTGGTGTTCTAAAGTGCAAGTGCAGGTGAGTTGTTTGTTGGTACCTGTAAAGGAATGAAGTGAATGTTAGAGGGAATTATGTTTGGAA